CGCCTCACAGCACCCTGCACTGAGCCTTTACAGGACTGGCCACATTTAGACAGTACCGATTTCAGTAATTATCTGATCGTCTGTCTCCCCCAGGAGACCGTAAAGTGCCTGAGAGCAGCATTGGTGCTTGTTTTACTCATTATAGGATTCCTAGCCCAGTGTCCAGTGCATGGAGAGGTTTGTTGAGTAAACATACCACTTCCCATCATTCCTTCACCCTTACCACAGTTCCAGCTGACCTACGTAATTTTATTTCAGTTAAAAACTGTTTTTTTGGTTACCTTTGGGCTGCTGTCTGTTTCCTCTGTGAACTCACCCACTTCAGCGCCATCAAGTCAGTTTTGATTCAGGGCAAACTTCCATCACATTTCTAAGACTGCAGATCATTATGGAAGGAGATGGCCCAACTTTCTCCCATGGGGTAGCTGGTGGGTTCCAATGTCTGACCTTTTGATAGCCTGATACATTATGTGCTTTGCCACAATCCAGCTACCAATTATAAAGGCAGGATAATGTTGTTGTTGTTATGTGCCGTCGAGTCACCTGCGACTCATAGCGACCCTATGTACAACAGCCCTAAACTCCGCTCTGTCCTGTGCCAATCGCACTGTCTCTGACACTCCCATCCCAATTATCCCAGTCACTGAATCAATCCACCTCATAGAGGGCCTTCCTGTCCTGCGCCGTCCCTCCACCCTCTCAAGCATGATGTCCCTCTCTAAGGACCGGTCTCTCCTCACAACATGTCCAAAGTAAGTTAGACGGAGCCTCAGAATCCTTGCCTCCAAGGAGCCACCCAGTTTAACCCTCTCCAGGACAAATCTGTTTGTTTTCCTAGCAGTCCATGGTATTCTCAACACTCTTCTCCAGCACCACAGCTCAAAGGCATCAATTCTCCTTCTATCCTCCTTGGTCATTGTCCAACTCTCTGATGCATAACAGGTGATTGCGAAGACCATGGCATGTATCAGACGCACCTTAGTCTCCAGAGAGACACCACTGCTCTTCAGCACTTTGGAGAGGTCCCTAACAGCAGACGTTCCCATGGCAATGCGCCTTTTAATTTCCTAGCTGCTGGTGCCAAGACGGTTGACTATGGAGCCAAGCAAACTAAAGCTGTGTACAATCTCAATCTCTTCACCATCCATCCTGATGCTGCCAATTGGTCCAGTGGTGAGAATCTTTGTCTTCTTGACATTGAGCCTCAATCCATATTGTAGGCTGCAGTCCTTGACACTCTGCAGCAGGCGCTTCAGGTCCTCCTCAGTTTCAGCAAGCAGGGTTGTGTCATCCGCATATCACACATTGTTGATAATTCATCCACCAATCTTGACCCCACATTTCTCCTCATAGAGCCCAGCCTCCCGGATAATCTGTTCTGCATATAGGTTGAAAAGGTATGGAGATAGGATGCATCCCTGGCATACGCCCTTCCCAATTTTGAACCATGCAGTGTTCCCTTGCTCTGTTCTGACGACTGCCTCCTGGTCCAAGTATAAGTTTCACATTAGAACGATCAAGTGTTCTGGTTAAAAGCCCATCCTAAAATTTGAGAGCTTAGGACTCAGCTACCAACTCTGCTATAACTTATGCACATACTTTCCCCACTTCCTCCTTGTAAGTCTCATCTCCACTGATCCTTCCTGCCTTCTGGGCTTTACCCTTGGACAAGTGTTGCTCTTTTGGCCTTATGTGGTCAGTTATCTTAGGAATGAATTCCTCCCGGATAGTATTGTTCCCCTTATAGACCTGTCTATTGTTAGACTGCAGGCTGAGCTTTGGTGAGTTTTGTTCAGACTTGAATAGTGATTAGAAGCTAGTCTTGGGGGTTCTACCAGTCTCTAATGGACCAGTCATGTATGTCTGTTCATCTTGCCTGTTTATATATTTGCTTGTAAATGAATGTTTCTTATTGTTGAGATTGCAGGATTGTGTGTTTGAGGGTGCTTATAGGTTTGTTTACTGTATTTCTTGTGTACCTCCCTGTGTCTTCCTTTTTAGTGGTCCTGTGATCATCATCCTCTTTTGTGTATTGCTTTTCCCTTCTCCCATCTTAGTGTGTCTATCAATCTATTTCCCAGTTTTCACTCTCCTCTTCCTTCTTTCCCCATCCCTAGGAACCATTTAAGAATGATTCTTACTGTGTGTCAACTTTTATCTTTTATTAGTGGATGCATTTAATATTTGTTCTTGTGTGACTGACTTTATTCAATATAATGTCCTGTGGATTCATTCCTGTTCAGTGGTTTTTGTGAAGTGTTTTATTATTCTTTTGTGGTCCATCATGTGTGGACAGGAGTGAGGTTTATTGGGTGTTTCTCCCCCCCCCCTTTGTTTATCCATTCATCTGCTGATGTTTATTTAGGTTGTTTCTGTCTCTTTCCCATTGGAAATAATGCTACACTCAATAGGGTATCCAAATATCTATTTGTGTTGTAGCTTTTATTTCTTTAGGATATATACCTGGTATTGACATTGCTAGATCAAATGGTATTTCTATTTCCAGATTTTCAAAGTGGGTGTGCCATTTTCATAGTCTCATGTACCAGCAGTACATGATAGTGTCAGTCTCTCCATAATCTCACAGTATTTGTTATTATTTTATTTAAAGTAATCAGATACAGCCCTGCATACGCTCACATGTCTATGACAAGAAATTTGAAAAACGCCTTGCTGACCAACCAACTGGAATAGATCCATTTTTATGCTATTTCAAAAGGATGATCTAACAGGATGTGGAAGTTAGTGAACAGTATCATTGATGTCACCCACAAGTAAAATCTTGCTGCAGATTATTAAAGAAACATAGAGTGGAGCAGCACATTGACAGGAAACTACCAGAAATTCAAGCTGGCTTCAGAAGAAGCTGTGGGATGAGGGATATCATTGTTGATGTCAAATGGAGCTTTGCAGAAAGTAGGAAATACCAGAAAGACATGTTTCATTGATTATGCAAAGACATTCCACTGTGTGGAGCCTAATACATTGTGGGTAATATTGAGAATAATGGGAACTCCAGAACCCTTAGTTGTGCCCAAGTAGAAACCGTACATAAATCAAGAAGCAGTTATTCAAACGGAACAAAGGGATATTGTTGTTGTTGTTGATTGCCGTCCAGACAAGCACAACTCAGTGATCCAATGAACAAAAGTCCTGAAACCTTTCTATAACTATCGTCATTTCTCAAAATTCATAGAATATTGCGTATTTTAAAATCAGGAAAGGTATATATCAGGGTTGTATCCTTTCACTATACCTATTCAACCAGTATAGTGAGTAAATAATTTGAGAAGATGGACTATATGAAGAAGAATGTGGCATCAGATTTAGAGGAAGACTTATAATAACCTGCATTATGCAGAAGACATGCTTGCAGAAAGTGAGGAGGACTTGAATAATTTACTGAAGAACATCAATGACTGCAGCCTTCAGTATGGGTTACATCTCACAATTGGATCTATAGGTAACATCATGATAAAAGGAGAAAAGATTAAGTTGTCAGTGTTTTCATTTGACTTGGAGCAACAATCTACACCCATGGAAGCAACAGTCAAGAAATAAAAAAATATATTACTCTGGAGAAACTCTGATATCAAGGACCTTTCTTAAAGAGTAAGAATGTCAGTTTGAAGACTAAAGTGTGCCTGACCCAAATCATGGTATTTCCCATTGCTTTATATGTGTGTGAAAGTTGAAAAATGGATAAGACTAAAGAAAAACTGAAGCCTTTGAATTGTAGTGTTGACGAAGAGTATTGAATATTCCATAGACTGCTGAGAAAACAAATCTGTCTTGGAGAAAGTATAACCAGGGTGCTCCTTGGAGGCAAAGATGGTGAAACGTTGTCTTCTATTTGGGCTTGTTCCCGTTGGGTACCAATAGTTGACAAAAGGCGTCATGCTTGAAAACACAGAGGGTGAACAAAGGAGAGGAAGAGCCCAGTGAGATGGGCTTAACACTGTGACTACAAAAATGGGCTTGAACATGGTAGAGATTGTGAGGATACTGCAGGATTGGACGAAGTTCTGATCATATGGTCACCATGAATTGGAGTTCACTTGGCAACACCTAATAGCACTGATATGTTATTGAACTTTGTTTATGTTGCTGTGTGAGACTAATTTTCACTGAGTAAGCTTTGTCCTCTTTCTCCCTATTATGTGACCCAGGTGAAAGGAATGTATATTTACTGAAAATTTACTATATCCCTAGCACTGTTCTTGGTCTTGATATGTTGTTGTTAGGTGCCATTGAGTCATCTGTGACTCATAATGACCCTATTATATATACAACAGCTCTGAAGCCTGCCCTGTCCTGAGCCATTCTCACTGACTCCAACACACCAACTCCCCATTGCCCCAATTACTGTATCAATCTGTCTCACCCAGGGGGTCTTCCTCTCCTGTGCTGTCCCTCCACCCTTCTGAGTATGATGTCCTTCTCCAAGGACAGGTCCAGGCCACGTGCCCAAAGTGTGTGAGACAGAGCTTCAAAATCCTAGCCTCCAAGGAGAAACTTGGTTTCACCCTCTCCAAGACAGACTTACCTGTTTTCTTTGCAGTCCGTGGTATGTTCAAGACACTTCTCCAGCACCACAACTCAAAGGCATCAGTTCTACCTAGAAGGAGGAAATTTGGAACCTCAACCCTAGAGAACATTTAGTTGCCTCTAAGGGACCAGGAACACTGGTGGTGCAATTGTTGAAGCACTCTAGTTCAAACTGAAAAATTGATGGCTTGGACTCTGGCAGCTTCATGGTAGAATGGTGTGGCAATCAACTTCAGTAAGGATTATAGCCTTGGAAACCCCCTAGGACAGTTCTACCCTGTCGCCTGAGGTTGTTAAATCAGAATGGGTAGTGGATTTTGTTTGATTTTAGGTGCCCAGAAGGGAACTAAGTTTAACATCCTCTAATTATCATCATTAACATCATTGAGTTCATTCCTTCTAGAAGGCTTGAGATGCTCACTGACTATTATCTCCTGGTTCTCTCACCCTAGGTTTTCACACACTTCACATGGTTCTCGGTGTCCACTGTCTTCCTTTGCATAACCTGCTCCATTACATTGATAATGGAGTGCTGCTTCTCACGGAAACAGCTGTCACAAGGCTCATGAAAGGTAAGAGACATCGAGATTGCCAGGGTGCCAGCTCTAACCCAGGCACCTCCATGGGCCAGCTTTTACTGGGCGTGCAGTGTTGCAGTGACTTGCTGTGTGCAGTTCACGTACTCTATTGCTGCCATCTTTAAATTCTCAAACTCCAAGTCTCTCATTTTGCATTGGTCCTTACAAATAATGTAGACTGTCTTGGTAAACACAGTTTATTTCCTGTAAATATCTCTTTCCTAAATGGACCAATGTAAAGTGCCTTAGGCCTTCAAGAGGCCCCAAAGGGCCTCTGGATCTACATAAATACATAAAGCTATTAAATTTCCTTTTTTTTTTTTAACATGAGGGTAGTTGAGGCTATGAGAAAGCAGGCTTTCTTTTCAGTGTTGGGGAAATGGCTTTTTTTCCAACTGACTCTTCTCTCAAATTTAGATTTAAAATTCAAGAAAAATTAATTGGAAATGCTGTGTTTATTTGAAGTTGAACTTTACATAAGGTTTTTAGTGTAATTTCTCTCACTTAAATTATTTGTGTAATATTATGGATGAATTTTGCTAATAGTAAAATTTTTACCACTCTTCAAAGCGTGCCTTTTTAAATCAATACATTTGTTTGCTATTGGCAGCATGCTACTTAAGAATGTTTAAAAAAAATCCCCATTTCTTCAGATAAAAATTTTAAAAATAAGAATCAGCGTGTTGTTAGATTTTACCTTGAGAATACAAGGTTGGTATACATAATGACACATAGTGAAATATCACCAACTTGCTGAGGTATTAAAATGAACGTTTTGTTTGTTTGCCAATCTCTATATAACTTTCTTGTAGATCTGGACAACACAGAGAGGAATGAAAAATTAAAGTTTAGCATCATCATGCGGCTTCCTCCGGTAATCCTAAATTAGATTTTATTTTCTCACTGAGCCTTGGGATGGGCCTCCTTTACTGTCTTACTGGAAGAAGAGCATGAGTGAGCTTTCTTTGAGCTCTAGTCACTTGAATTGTTTCACTTCCCAATCTTTTCCAAAAAACCCCATCTGTCCCCACCCACCTGTTGGTCCCTGCTGGGCCTACAAAGTGCTTTGCTTATTGGCTTTGCAGTTGGCTTGACACAACCACCTGGGATATTTGGACATTTTCTCCACTTAGAAAACCACACTAATATTTACAGTTGTGAGTCTGAGGGAAAACATGTGCTTTTGGCATTTAATTTGGTAAGAAATTTAAATACAGGTAAGGTCAGAAGGTTCTGGAGCCAGATTTCCTCCTACTACGCTTTCCACCAGAGCAGGAATATATTCTCAGGTTGAAGGAAAAAGAAGAGGCATGAAAGAAAGAGTTGCACAGGTGTTCCTTGGTTGTGTTTTGTTTTTTAAATGAGAGAATCATAGCTCTTTTAGTCAGAAATACTATGAAAATATGAAATTCCAGGGCAAGGTCTCCAGAGCCTCAGAGTCCATGAACTTGCTGACCCCAAGAGCCTCCACCGCCTGCTTGCTGTTTACATACCTTGAACACTTGTCTGTCTGGCAGAATCTTCCCCACCCTCCCACAGAGGGCTGCCTGTTGCCTTTCTGAACCTCATGGACTTGCTTTGAAACAGCTTGCCTTTATTGCTTTACCGAAGCAGAGGCAAGAACATAAAACAAAGCATGTTTTCCATGGCTGCATCTCTCCAGGGAGTATCTCTTAGTTTGGTCTCCACATTTGATTGTTTTTGCCTCAGAGTTTAAGGGAATGAAAAATTTGTTGGTTTTTTTTTCCTTCCTGACAAGACATTGGAGAGGAGTTGGTATAAATATGCCTGCTACCTTTTGTTTCCTGTCAAAACATCCTTTAGGGCTGGTATGCAAAACCCTACTTTTGAAGAGGAGCAGAGGCATTCCATTTCAGAAAAATTTGGCTTCATCAGTGTGTAACTAACTGCCTTTTTCAGGGTAGCAGTGGAGGGACTATTTATTCAAAAGTCAGAAGCATATCTCATAGAAACCTGGCATTTCTCAAAGGTCTATTAACCCTAAAATGCCTGTCTTTTCTACTAAGCAGGTATTTTGGAATCATATTTAGAAATTATGAAGCGCTATCCATTTCTTTACTGTGGTATGAGATGTATTCTCGTTTGTGTATTTTTCAATTTGCCTCATAGCTTATTGGTCAGAAGGTCAGCCGACTTTGGGATCACCCTGTGAGTTCCACTATCATTTCACGCAACCATGTGAAGCAGCTGCTTCAAAACTATACGAAACAGGTGAGTGTGTATGAACGCACAGTTACGTGAAATGTTTTTGGATCCTATCTGCAAATTGGAACATATCCACATGAGCAGCAACTGTAGTTATCACCTTACTTAAATGTGTGTCTGCTTTGGAAAACCAACTAATACCAGAGTTGCCTTCCCCTTTAGCCTCGGAATCCCAGGATTGACAAGCCATCATTCAGTGCAGATTTTCTGCCGCTCAGCTACTTCACTGACATACTGACAGACATAGAGTCTTCCAGTCAAGGTAACCGGGTTTTCTTGCTTTTCCCTTGACACGCCAGTCATTCTCCATTCATGCATGTGTGAATCCATCTTTACTGCATTCTTTACTTCTAAGTAGGGCCACTCAAATTGGCTTTAATTAGTAATACACAATTTACTACCTGGAGTGAAGACGGAAGGATAACCTGTAGCTAGTTGTTCTGTTAGCCCAAAGGCTGCTCACCTCTGGCGGTTCGAATCCACCAGCGACTCCAAAGGAGAAAACTGGGCAGTCTCCTCCCTTTGCCATTTATTTCTTAAGAAAGCTGCTATGAGACAGAACTGAATCGACAGCAGTGAGAAAAGGACATTTAGTTGATGTGAATACCCTTTCTTGGTGTTGAGGTTATTACCACATTATTGGCTTCTGTGCAATACTGATTATGCATTATAGTTTTTAGGACACAATCTACACACAGAGTAATAATAATAATAATGATGATGATGATAAAAATAATAAATGTTGGGAGAGTGGAGAAGAAGACCCTCGATTAGATGGGTCAATTCTGTGAGTGGAGTGGTGGGAATGAAAGTGTTTGAGACAGCGAGGTTGGCACAGGATAGAACAGCGTTTAGGGCTCTTGTACATAGGGTCTCTATGAGTCGCAAACGACTCGATGGCACAGAACAACAACAACAATAACAACAACTTTTAGGATTGGCAAGTCAACAACAATAAAATTTTTAAAAGAAAAAGGAGCTCTGGTGGCCTAGTGGCAAGAAGCTGCACTGCAATCCTAGAGGTGTATGGTTCAAATCCACCAGATGTTCTGCTGGAGAAGGAGGGAAAATCTCCTCCTGTACCAGTCAGATCTGAGTTGACAGTACACACATAATAATAATAATAATAATAATGAAAACATTGTTAAAGGACACAATCTCATTATTAAATGAAATAAAAGAACTGATTTCAACTAGAGTTAGGGCACAAGTTTTGTAATGTATGGCTTCATAGCTTTCTCTTTGTTTGTCTTGTTATTCATGGCTTTCTCTTTGTTTTTCTTATCTCCCCAGCTCAGCATGCTTTTGAAGGACATGACAACGTGGATGCAAAATTTGTTGGAGAAGCAGCTCTGAAACATACCACAATGCTTTTAGGTTTGTGAAAGAGCAAATGCAGTTAGATCAGCTTCCACTACTTTAACCTTACTTTAGCAGCATTTGAAATTGTTGACCAAGATCAAATAGATTCCTGAGCCATTGAACTGCAGGTTGGTACTTGTTTCGATAGCGCTAGAAGAGGAAGACCCTCATGGAGATGGATTGACACAGTGTCTGTAACGATACATGAGCATATACAGAGATGGTGAGGAGGGCCCAAGATAGAGCAGGGTTGAGGTCTGTTGTTTCTAAGGTTACTAGGACTCAGCTGCATCTAACAACAAACAGCTCCACCTTCCTCCACATTTAATCATCCTCAGATGAGTGGTTGAGTACAAAGAAATGATAATTTGAAGAAGATAAAGTGCCAAAAGTGATGCTCTTCTGAGCCTTCTTTTCCTAGGAACCACACAGCCCCTAAACTAGTCTCCTTGCATTCTGAGATAAAATACAGTTGATTCTTGAACAACTTGGCTTTGAATTGCCTGGGCCCGTGTACACACATTTGCCCCCCTCTTGTTATTGTACCAAGTTCAAGTGTGTGAGACTATGGTGTGTAGGTTATAATCTCTCATGAGCAGTTTATCACTACACTAACTTACGCATTGCAATAACAAATGGTTTTAATGAGATTTTAGCGGCAGGAGGGGAGCTCTGGTGGGATTTTTTTTCCCTTCTGGTAAGAAGCTGCACTGTAATCCCTGAAAACACACTGTTTGAGACCACCAGCTGCTCCATGGGAGAAGGATAGGCAGTTTCCTCCTGTGTGATTACCTGCCTCTGAAAACCTGCTGGAGGGTCAGCTGTGGGTCAGTCCAACGATGGTACACAACAACAGCAACAACAAGGAGTGGGCACCCCCACTCCGAGCTGACTAGGGGTCAACTGTATGCTTTAAAAATTCAGGGAACTGTTCTTAGGAAAACAAAAACTAGTTGTGTTTCTTAAATAATATAAGAAGAAAAAGTAAATGTTACATAAAAATGATATAAGCAGAAGAGACTTTAAAAAAATGGAATTTGGAACAATTGAAATATTCTATCTCCAGTATGAAATAATTTATAATATAGTTGTTTGTACATTCAGTATTTAGAATATTAATTGTTGTTTGTGATGGCTAAGATGGAATGGTATTTAATTTTTTTAAGTTTTTTATATTTGAAAATATTCAGTAATATTGAAAAATAAAGCCACTACAAAAAAAAAAACACTCAAAATTTTGATCTGACTCTTCCTGCTTGAATTTCTGTTTGAATCAAGAGTTCACGAACATATCCCACAAGATTCTGTGACATCTCTTTTCTGTTTTCTTTCTTCTTCAATGACTTCATTCTGACCCATGAATACTGTTACTGCCGGGGCTCAGCCTTTAATTCCTTGATTTTCTCTGTCACATTGTTTCCTTCAGTGAACCTATAAAATAACTATAATTCTTAGCTGGTATAGGAATTCGACTTTTCTAAAATCATCATGTCCTGGAAATTAGTCTATCCTTTGGAATTTCCCTTCTAGGTCAAACACTTCATGGTCACTGAGACTCAAAATATTGGAGCCAAATCAGCAAGGCAAAGATAATGCTTTCCCTTGAAACTTTTTTTTTAATTCCTTGATACTTTTAAAAATATTCTCTAAGTCACTTTTTTTAAAAAAAAATTGACTTTAATTGGCAATACACAGTTTACAACTGGTATAAGCAGATTTGTTCATAGAGTTTTCAAAGGTCTGTTATTTAAGAAGTGGATGTGGCCAGTCCTGCTTTCTAGTCTGTTTTCTTCCAGGACCTCTGCTGAGGGTCACCAGCTGAGGTGACCCTGGCATTTGAAACACCGGTGGCATAGCTTCTACCGTCGTAACAACCCATGAGTCACCACAGAACAGCAAACTGACAAATTCTGTACTAATAAGAGTAAGTGAGAAGCATATATACATGTAAGCTATAAAGTAAGTAGCAACATGGAAATGACTCCTCTAGTACAACAAATTTACAGATGGGTGTTGTGTCTAACAGTGAATGACAGAAACAACCGGGCACACGAGTATCCTGGCTCAGGACAGCCCTCACTGGCCCTGGCTGCGGCCCGCAGCAGAGTGGCATACCTGTTCAGTCTGTATGCTGAGCAAGTCATTCAAGAAGCTAGACCGATAAAAAATGTGACATCAGAATCTGAGGAGGACTCAACAACTTGCATTATGTAGATGACACAGCTCTGCTGGCTGAAAGTGAAGCAGACTTGAACTGGTTACTGGAAGAAAATCAAAGACTTCAATACTGATTACATCTCAACATCAAGAAGACAAAAATCCTCACGAGTGGGCTGATAAGCACTATCATGATAGATGGAGAGAAGATTGACATTGTCAACAGTTTCATCTTACTTGAATCTACAATTTGTACCCTTGGTACCAGCAGTCAAGAAATCAAAGAAGCTTTTGGCAAGGTTTACTATCAGGGACCTCTACAAAGTCCTGAGGAGCAATGATAGCACTTTTAAAGAATGAAATTTGCCTTATTCAGGCTATGGCATTCAGGCTTTTGAAAATTGTTGTTTTTTTAAAAAAATAGTTTTTCTAGCCACTTAGCCTCGTTTGAATGTGTGGTCTCTAGCTCCCTTAACTACATGCACATGATTCATCATTGCTCAGCATCTCCTACATAATCAACAGCTGTGGGTCTAATGTAGGAGGGAGAGTTGGTCAGGCAGTGGTGAGGCACAGTCGGACAGAGCCCTGGAGATGAAGCCAGAAGAGCTGACTTGGGACTGCCAGGAGACGAGGCCTGCTGGATGAGCAAGAAAACCTGAGTTTATTTTTGTTGCTTGATTGAACCTAGACTTTCACTGTGTGATGAGCTTTGTCTTCCTCTTTAACCCCCCGACCTATTTCCTTAGTAAATCCCACAACCTTTGGAATGAATATTACACCCTGTGATTAGCAGAAGTAGGTACAGTAGTGTCAAGAAGTCTCCTAGTTCAGAATCCCAGTGGCCTCCTCAGGGTTTTTGCCATAAACTCCAATCTGCATAAGCATGGCCTCAAGGATCATGTATGAATGTGGATCACAAAGGCCTAGAGGCAAGGAGAATGTGGCTACTTTCTGTATTTCATTCATAACCTGCTGTTGCTCAGGTCCCCATTCAAACACAGATTCTGGACTCATAGACTAAATCTCCAACTAGTCTGGCAGTATGACAATTTGGAAAAGCTCTTAAGCTTTTGTTTGATTTAGTAAAGGAAAGTAAAGTGATGTTTTCCATTTCCAGAGTTGTGAAATAAGATACATTACTACTACTAACATGTAACAACAAGCTCTGGCTAACTTTGAGAAGAATGGGAATCCCAGAACACGGAATTGTGCTCATGTGTAAACTATACCAAGAAGCTGTTGTCCAAACAGAGCAAGGGAACACTGCATGGTTTAAAATAAAGAAAAGTGTGCCTCACGGCTGTATCCTTTCTCCATATCTATTCAAGTTGGATGCTGAACAAATAATTCGAGAAGCTGGACTTTATGAAGAATGTGGCATCAGGATGAGAGGAAGACTCATTAACAACCTTCATTCTGCAGATAACATAATCCTGCTTGCTGCAAGTGTGGAGGACTTGAAGCACTTGCTGCAGATGATCAAGAACTACAGTCTTCAATATAGCTTGCATCCCAACATCACGAAAACAATAACCCTCACTAATGGGTCAATATACAACATCATAATAGACGGAGAAAATGTTGATATTGTCAATAATTTAATCCGAGTTGGACCTACAATTAACACCTTTAGTGCTAGCAGCCAAAAAATCAAAAGATGTATTTCACTGGGAAAATGTCAGAGACCTCGCCAGATTACTCAGGAGCAAAGATGTCAGTTTGAAGACTGGGGCGTGTGTGTCCTGTTCATACCATGGTCTTTTCAGTCACTTGCTATGCATCAGAGAGCCAGACAATAGAAAAGGATGACAGAAGAATTGATGCTATCGAGTTGTGGTGTTGGAGAAAAATACTGAACATCTTATGGACTACCAAAAGAATAAACAGGTATGTCTTGGAGAAAGTACAGCCAAAATACTCTTTAGAGGCAAGATGGTGAATCTTCGTCTCACATACTTTGGGCATATTGTTAAAAGAGGAGATTCCTGGAAAAGGATACCATGCTTGGAAAGGTTGCGGGTTAGTGAAAGAGAGAATGACCTTCAATGAAATGGACTGACACAGTGACTGGAACAATGGGCTCAAGTGTGCCAGAGATGATGGGACAGGGTTCAGATCTCTTGTTTGTTACAGGGTCACAATGAGTTGTACTTGACTTGATGGCACCTAACAACAGCCAGTATGAAATAATGATAATGTCAGAATACTAGTGATGTAAAAACCAAAGTTTATGGTCTACACATGACTGTTTAAAAACAGAGATACATGAAATACAACAGTAACAGATTAAATAAGACTGACTTCACTTTTAACTCTCATACACTTGATATTAGAAATACTTTGAGATTTTTGGTAGGCTAGTTTCCGAATTTTCATGAGTTTGAGAAGATATACATTTATAAGGGAAATAAGTTAGGGCCCAATTATTTGTAGCAAAATGTTTAGGTATTATTGTCATGACAGGAGTCCAGAACGAAGGCTATATAGCGGAGTGGACTTGGGAGGAGGGATTATATAACAATGAAAGAATTTTTCTTTTGCTTTTCAAAGAGTAAACTGGGGGAGAGGGGAGAGATGGGCGGGGAGAAACCTGCAACAGTGAATAAATGGAAATCCAAAGTCTCTGTAAATTTTCATTAAAATTGGTAATAATAATAAAAAAGTACAATTTGAAATTACAAAATCCACTATTACTTTGAATATTTATTCTCATTGCATTTTTACAGCACCTTGCCTATTATATCGTTTTGAAAGATAATCACTATACAGAGTGAAAAAATAAGAAATGAGCAATTCAAACGCATGCTTCAATACTGTGGGACAATCTGATGCCCTACTCCTCATCACGGGACAAGGCTGGGTTCTGTTGTGGGTTAACTGTACCTTATTGGTCTATAATTTAGGACTCTCGTGCTCACATTTCCAACTGTGGGTGTGAGGAAGCCTAGTTCAAGCTCTCTTCTCGGGAAGCCTGAATTGGGGCGTACATTCAGATTTCAATTGGCTTTACAACAGGTTTCCTTATGTGCCTCATGTTGGACCCGGGTTCACTGGGTTTGAAAGGAGCCAGGGCACCGTATGGTTTCGGCAAAGGCAGAGTGCCATCCGCTTTGGGGACGTAGGCATTGGGACGCTGTTCCGCAGATGTGTAAACACCACTGGGGAGCTGGCGACTGTCTTCTTCAGACAACTCCTGCAAAGAATGATTTTTTTAAGTCCTCGGAAAACTGGTGATGTCACACTTCCTTATTAGGGCTCTCTCTCTCTCTCTCTGTCACACACACACACACACACACACACACACACACACACATACAACATGGTGCATCTCACTGCCGTGGGCTTTGTTGCTCGAGGGCCACTCTGTGCCTGGGGCTTAAGGTTTGTTTTTTTTTTAAAAAATGGGCTCTTTACTGACTAGATTTAATTCTCAGGATCTTTCATCAAACACTAGTTATGTTTTGAAAAAGGGAGAACAGTGTATTTCCTTTTGTGAGCAAATGTTATAAAGAGGTAAGGAACAAAATGAAACCAGAGGATAGCTGGTCAGCAGCTTGCTTCGAACCTCGGGGACCTCAAACTTCTGCCTGTGCCTCTGGGAAAGAGGAATTTTCACGACATGAAAAAGAACCATGGAGGAGGAAGGCAGGTGAGTTACAGGCTCTCTGGATAAAGTCTGACTGCCAGATATTGTCCTGGTGGGGGGAGATATCCTGAAGCCGACCCTGTGGTCAGGTGTCCCTGGTGTTTGGACTGCATTATGTTCTTGGGCTAGGGAGTGACTAGCCATCCCTGTGGGAACTCGGCAGTCTCAGGGTGTAGTAGTCTCCTTGGAAAAAGATGCCCAATTTCTTTCTAAGAATGTTGAAGCGTAATGGGGCTAGGCAGAATTGGGTACGCAAGCTAAGAGCAAAGGTGGTGGACAGACCTGAGCTGAGTCAGTGTCAGAGAAGAAAGGTGTGGCTTTGAGATCCATGAGGAACTTTAGGTGCAGTGCCCGTCAGAGGAGGCAACCACCGAATGCCAGGAGGGCTCCACATAATGTGGAGGCCACGGCAGATGCACGTGGAAGAGATTCATGCACATTGTCATGCCAGTGGAGACCATGGTTTTGCCACAGTAGTTCACAAGGACGTGGAGTGAGATTTGGTGCTTGACAAGTATTCTCCAGGAAATACTGTAGGACTTTGACTGACTTCTCTTCAATTTGTCTATATAGTATCTTTAAGAACACAAACGCCTTTCTAATGACTGGGGGACTGTATGTGTGGTGGAATGGTTGCATTCTCATGTCTGTTGGGATAACTGGCAACCTTAAGACTGCCTTTCCTGGTGCAGCTGGGACATGCAACACAGGAGCTAAAACTTACCTGAGACTTTGCAGCAAGGGCCAATGCATACATTTCCTCATCTCGAAGCACCTTCAGCCACTCTTTCTCGATGTCTTTATTGAGTGGTAGACCCTTTTCCAGCCTGGAATTGCAAGAGTAGATGAAGTCTTCCTTCTCCCTGACTTCCCTTTGGAGTTCCAGGACCTGGGCTTGTCTCATGGACAGCTCAGCAATGACAGCCATCAGTTTTTCAGTAGCTTCTTTGATCTTCTTCTGGTAGTCATTCATCTAGAATGAAACAACCCAAGGCTTAGCCTACACACCATTCCATGAAGACTTCTGCATCTTTTTAAAAAGAAAATGTTGAATAAAATGTTTAAAATTAGTATCCTTTTAAATGCCAATCAGGTGGGTTGCACAGTGACTGCAACAATGGGCTTCAGTGTGTCCAAGGCTGTGAAGATGGCACAGGATAGGGCAAGGTTCTCATCAGTTGTTCATAGGGTCATGGTGGGTCATACTCGATGGCACCTAACAAGAGCAGCAACAAAAACAACTACCTATGTGCAGAGAGAGAGAGAGAGAGAGAGAGAGAGAGAGTGTGTGTGTGTGTGTGTGTGTGTGTGTGTGTGTAAGTATCCAACTCCAATTTCTTCTACAAATAAGCAAAGACTGATATTATTCTGGTTGTGTTAAGCATTTCCTGAGCTGTTCCATTTTTGTGAAACCTTTTGCAGGAACCAAAAGCTAAGAAGAAGAAATGAGGGGCTTGGAAAGGCATGTTCTGTTGAGCACCACACAGGGTTGGGCCACTGATGTGTTAAGCATGTATTAAACTCTAGGAAAAAAAGAAAAGTTTGTTGGTTGAAGAAATAAATAAGCAATCAGTCCCAGAAACAATTCAGGCACTCTCGATAAAGGAGGAATTGTGTCATGTTTGCAACAACTTGAGCTAAAACAACCCATTTCACAGATATGAACCCAAAATTTAGGATTCTTTATTTTTTCAAGTTTACCTGCTGGTGTTCGTAAATCACAAACTTGGGATCTGAATATCTTTCTACCTCCTACCCCTGCTTATGTTCAGAAGATTGCCTTTTTAAGTGTTTAAAAGCAGAAGATGCACCAGGTAAAGAGCACTGAAGGTGGGAAGAAGAAAGAAATCATTAGGAAAGAACTTAGTGAAGCTGCAGCCTCCCCGTGCCACAAATGTAGTTAGGATCTGCACTTCTCAAGCACTGCGGTTGCTTCCAGAGAGAATCTGCCATCAGCTTTTGGCAAGCAAATCCTTGGTGAAAAGTGACTTCCGCTAAGGAAGGGAGATTTCGTCCTTACAAAAGGCAGGTAACATTTACAGCAACACTGGACGTACTAATTCAGGCCAAGTTCATGAGCCTCCATGAGTCGTAGGCTTTACTCTCTGAAGTAAAGCTGTGAATTGCACAATTGCTATGGGGGCTGTTCAAGTGTCTGTTACTGAAGCAGTCTGAGGGGAAGTGTAAAACCCAAATAAAAATAGGGTGGGAGGCTTACGATTTTCAGTTCCTCATTACTTAGAGTGCCTGCAGCCAGAATGCTCAGTAAGCCAGGTAAGGAGAGTTTCCCTTCTCACTGTGTACTCTATTCCTGTCAGGGACTGTAAATTTTAAGAGAGGCTTTGATTCTGCAGGAGGGTGCTGTGGGGTTGGGAGGGGGCAGGAGAGAGGGATAGGTGCCGACCATACCTAAAAGTGCAATCTCGGGGGGTGCGGGTGGGGGGCGCTAGAAAAAAGTGAAATTGCCCACTATTACCTAGTAAGTAAGAACGTAAGGAAGTAAGCCCGTGCTTGCTTTGTTTACTGGATAATCTGAAGCCAAGTGTTGTGCCGGAACTATTTCTGGAACAGAGCTGAGTGTTTACCTATTCAGTAAATGTCTTTCTAGAATTGAGTACATGATAGACAATGACAAAGGACTAGAAAGGATTTAATTCTGGGGATGAAATACAAAAGGTAACAATTATTGAGTAGGTGCCTTATTAAGTGAAACTTGTAGACTGTCACTGAAAAGCTTAGGTTTCTCCAGTGTAGAACGAGTTAGGAAAAAAAAAATTGAAACTTATTTTGGACAATTCTCTAATGAGCATCATTACATTTTGGTATTTCCCTAGTCAAAAGCCCTCCTCTCCAGTGTTTTACTCTAGATAAATAAACTAGTCTGTGGGAAATGAAAGGTAATAGCAGAGAAGGGCAGAAGAGAGAAAAGACCTTGTTGGCCAAGAGGAGCGTGTCCTGCTTGCAGGCCTGAGTTTTACTGCTGAGTCTGTCTGTGAGCCGGGACACCTGCTCATAGATAAAGTCCTTCTCCAGTAACTTCTCCTCCTTCATGGCCAGCTGTAGTTCCAACTATGATCGAAACCATTTCAACAGGAAGAAAAAGAAAGTCACGTACAATGAAATCATCTTTCCTAATTAGAGCACTGCTCCCCCTGCTGCCCCCCCCCACCCCGCCCTGCCCCTTACTTAATAGAGACCCATAGCTTTAATCTCTATTGAAAAACTTTGGTTTTCTCCAGTTACCAAAATGCACCTGAAAAGTCTCTAGAACTTTATTTCCAGCTGCTAAAATACACCTGAAAGTCTTACTCAAGACTGCCCCTGCCTCGAGCTCACTCCAGATGAGTCTAGGGTTCTTCTTCCCATGGTAAACTAGGAGTAGCTCAACCATCTTGATGAGACACTGCCTATTAACATGTTCCTATTGGGGAGCTCTGGTGACTTCAAGATAAGGCCCTTCCCTGTTAATCTAAAGAGGGAAAATTCACCCAAACGAAACTGCTCCTTCAGACAGTGAAAGGTAACTTTAGTACTTTGAAACCATTGGTTTTTACATCTTTTCACAAGAGTATAAACCAATCTTAGATTTTGTTACGAAATCAAGGGAGTGTATTAACGTCTAGAATAATGAAGGCTAGGTCTATCTGCACAAAAAGAGACGGTACTATGGGTATTTAGGAACTAGTATCAATAAGGGCTAACAGATGCTACTTTAAGAAAGAACATGTACCTCATCTAATTTTTTCATCATTTGTTCTTTAGTCAGATCTTTCCCTGGAAGGAGGCGGGTTCTGTTCTTACCATCAGGATTTACAAACCGTTTCTCCAAGTCTTTTATTCTGTCTGTACACTGTGAAAACTATTAAACAAGAAAGAACTGTTAGTTTTCAAACTAATGCTTAGTAAGATCACAGAGCTCAAGACCTTAGAGTTTCCTCAGCAGGAAAAACCCTTGCAAGGGTAGAAGGGAATTGTTCTCCTGGGATCCATGGTTAAGGAGTACTTTCAATCATTCATAGTATTATGAGGGATGCTCAGAAAGGACTTTGCTAGCAAGGAGGTGCCTTCTGAGTCATCAACGAAAAAGTTTCTTTCACAACCAGTCCTCAGATCACTATGTTCACATTTCACATTATGTGATGCTGTGTGACTGTGAACTCAAAATACACAGCTTGGCACTGTGACAACCTACAGTGAAGAAATAAGTAGCACACTGGACTTCCCACTCTTGGGCAAGACTGTTCAAAGTTCCATTTAAAAGCCCTTTGTTTGCAATAAGCTTACTGGCTTCACAAAGAAGAATGATGTTCTTAATTACTGATATTAGTTAATTATAGTGCATAGTCTTTGAGGAACAGGCTAAAATATTTGTATATTTTTTTACTGAACTTCCAATGTCATATATTACGATCAATGATATTTATGGAATCCATGAGATTTTGGAAGTAGATGAAGAAATACGAGCACTTCCAAATAGAAGCAGCAGTCACAAGTTTGGCTGTTTAACAAGGGAGATGTGGACCATGGTGAAAACCAAGAGTTGTTATTTTTCAGCTTCTGCTGAAAATCCAAAGTTGTTATGGTGAAAACCAAGAGTTAGTCTTTTCAGCTACTAGATAGCTGTGCAATATCAAATCATGCAGATCATTCATCATCTCTAAATCTGTTTCCTCAATTGTCAACTGGAAGCAAAATGCCTATTATCACAATGCCTAATATCACAATTATCTCTCTGAAGGAAATAACATATTTGAAACACAACAGGCCCAAGAATGATAGAAGTGGTTGTGTTTTTGTTGTTGTTTTGTTTTAATAAGGTAGAATTTTAAGATTTTAACTTATGGCCATCCTCCCTGCAAAAATAATTGTTTTAAAAAGCCCATCTTTAATGCTAGTCATTCTTTAAGATATACTGTGTCTGATATTAGTATTGCCACCCCAGTTTTCTTACTGTTGGTATTTACATGGTACATTTCTGTTGTTGTTTTTGCTGTGTACTGCAGAGTTGGAACCGACCCATAGCTTATCCAATGGCAGGTTTTCAGAGGCAGTAAATCGCATGGGAGGAGATATCCCATTCATCTTCCACTGAGCAGCCGGTGAACCGTGTGCCTTCAGAATTGTAGCACAGCTTCTTTCCATTAGACCACCAGAACTACCTTCTTATAGTAATTTAAAAATTATAATTTGAGTGAAGGGTTATGTATGGTGACATAAATAATTAGAATTTAATTTTCTTTCTTATCCCTCTAAATTTTAAATTATACTTAATATAGAATTAAAATGCCTGTGAACACACATATATAAACATTTGCTATCTTATTTTTTAATAATATTTAATGTTCTTTAATTAAATAAGAAATAAAGTTATGGTTTTTGCTTATCAAAATGGCATCTTGACTGATTGTCAAAGTGGTATCTTGATTGACTTTATTTCCTCATGGGCCCATTGAGGAAAACCTGGTAATTTTTTCTGTACAAAATAATGTTCCTGCTTTCTAAAATAGTTCATGTGATTTCTAAGATCCCTAAAATGGAGCTATTATTACAGGCCTTCTGAGAATGTGACTCATAATAATCCTCAGATTAGACTCTTAGATGATTAAATATGGTTTCAAATTACTTCTTGGGAAAAACGCAGACCTTAAGAGATTTCAGAAAATGATGCAACAAAAGGAGAAGAATTATTTTTTGGGGGGTGAGGGAGTTTTAAAAACCCAAACCAACACAGCAGCTATGCCAAATAACAGGATATGACAGGGATCCGGTGCTGCAGGGCAGAGCACAAAACTGCCTGCCTAAAGCCAGACATTCCACATCGCGTCCTTTAAGGGCAAACACAGTTAGTGCCAAGTAGACAATCAAATAATTAAGTGCAGTTGCAAGACTGATGGTAAGTTTTCTATTCAACTCTTCTTAAGATTGGAATTAACTCTTGCAGAGAAGAAATTAAATAACCTACCAACCAACATGAGAAGGATTATCCTGGTGGAGGGTGGAGCTGGGAAGCAAGTGGGTAATGGCACTGGGCTAAGGGTGGGGTCAACACTTTAACTAACGCTTACCCCCACAATAAGGGATTTATCTTTAACTGCTCCACAAATTGCTGTCTGTCAGATACTCCTCTAAATCTGAACATT